CATTCCCTAATCCACATTGCCTCATAGCATATGCCATGCTGTGCATTCCCTATTCCTATTCCACATTGGCTCACTCCATATGCCATGCTGTACATTTCTTATTCTCCACTGCCTCATCCTATATGCCATGTTGTCCACTCCCTGTCCCACATCGCCTCATGCCATATGGTGTGCTGTACATTCCCTATTCTGAACTACCTCATTCCCTAATCCACATTGCCTCATCCCATATGCCATGCTGTACATTCCCTTTTCCTATTCCACATTGGCTCACTCCATATGCCATGCTGTACATTTCTTATTCTCCACTGCCTCATCCTATATGCCATGCTGTCCACTCCCTGTCCCACATCGCCTCATGCCATATGCTGTGCTGTACATTCCCTATTCTGAACTGCCTCATTCCCTAATCCACATTGCCTCATCCCATATGCCATGCTGTGCATTCCCTATTCCTATTCCACATTGGCTCACTCCATATGCCATGCTGTACATTTCTTATTCTCCACTGCCTCATCCTATATGCATGTTGTCCACACTCCCTGTCCCACATCGCCTCATGCCATATGCCTGTACATTCCCTATTCTGAACTACCTCATTCCCTAATCCACATTGCCTCATCCCATATGCCATGCTGTACATTCCCTTTTCCTATTCCACATTGGCTCACTCCATATGCCATGCTGTACATTTCTTATTCTCCACTGCCTCATCCTATATGCCATGCTGTCCACTCCCTGTCCCACATCGCCTCATGCCATATGCTGTGCTGTACATTCCCTATTCTGAAATGCCTCATTCCTTAATCCACATTGCCTCATCCCATATGCCATGTTATACATTCCCTTTTCCTATTCCACATTGGCTCACTCCATATGCCATGCTGTACATTTCTTATTCTCCACTGCCTCATCCTATATGCCATGTTATACATTCCCTTTTCCTATTCCACATTGGCTCACTCCATATGCCATGCTGTACATTTCTTATTCTCCACTGCCTCATCCTATATGCCATGCAGTCCACTCCCTGTCCCACATCGCCTCATGCCATATGCTGTGCTGTACATTCCCTATTCTGAACTGCCTCATTCCCTAATCCACATTGCCTCATCCCATATGCCATGCTGTGCATTCCCTATTCCTATTCCACATTGGCTCACTCCATATGTCATGCTGTACATTTTCTATTTCATACCTTCTCATTCCATGTGCCATGCTGTACTTTCCCTAGTTTACACTGCCTCATTCTGTATACTCTTCTGTACATTCCCTGTTCCACACCCACTCATTTCATATACCATGCTGAACATTCCTTTTCCACACACCTCATTTAAAATGCCATGCTGTACATTCCTATTCTGTACTGCTTCATTCCATATGCCATGCTGTACATTTCTTATTCTCCACTGCCTCATCCTATATGCCATGCTGTCCGCTCTCTGTCCCACATCGCCTCATTCCATATGCTGTGCTGTGCATTCCCTATTCTGAACTGCCTCATTCCCTAATCCACATTGCCTCATCCCATATGCCATGCTGTTCATTTCCTATTCTGCACTCCCTCATTTCATATACTAAGCTGTATATTGCCTACTCCACACTGCTGTACTCTATATTGTTGCTGCTGGGGAATTTATTGTTGCTGCTCTGGGATTTATTGATGCTGCTGGGGGATTTATTGTTGCTACTGGGGGATATATAGATGCTGCTGGGGGATTTACTGTCGCTGCCAGGGGAGTTATTATTACTACTGCTGTGTGATTTATTGTTGCTGCTGGGGGATTTATTGTTTCTTCTGGGGTTTCTGATATTGCTGCTGGGGGTGAATGTTGCTACTAGGGGATTTATTGATGTTGCAGGGGATATATTGTTGCTTCTGGGGGATTTATTGTTGCTACTAGGGGAGTTCTTATTGCTGTTGGAAACATTTTTTATTACTGTCGATTCATTATTTAAAAGGGGGTGATGCTGGGAGATGGATAGGGGTGAGGACAAGGGACAGTAATGGGAATTGTGTAGGGGGCAGAGGCAAAGGTGATCCAAGGTGGAATGGAGCACCTGCACCTATTCTCTGAGAAAAAGAAAAACTGTATGTGTATATACAGTATATTTCATTTTTATTTTGCCCACTAGTTCAGTAAAAGTGGGTCATTTTAGTGTAGATATGACTGTTGGCTTGAACACTCATATTTACCAACAGCTGAATATCCCTCATTTTTCAGTTACTTGTTGTAACTGGTTTCTCAAGCACACAGATTCAAATTCATTCAGTGTTTTTGATCTGTCATTTAGCCTCTCTTTTAAAATTGCATGGTTTTTGCGTAAATCAATATCTCTAGAGACTGTATTTCCACTAATATATTCCATGTGGCCTCTAATCTGTGAATAATAATTTTCAAATGTACGTCACTGGCCACTGGCAGACCTTTAAATGCAAAATCAAACTGTGTCTGAAACAAAACCTGTTAACCCTGTGTGCACAAACACACAGAAGCAAGCATAAATGATGTGGTGCTATGTTGGACCTATGCTCTTACTTTCTAAAATGACATTCAAGCAACATATTAATAACATGAAGGAAATATGTACTGTATATCACTGTCCTTTTCTAGGATTCCTTCATCATTCTGGTTCAAATGTGAGTGACGCTGGGCACAGGATCAAGGAAGGTAGGAACCCTACAACACACACCTTCTATCCAAATGCCAATATTGTAAGGAACAGTACCATATTTACTTAATATTTAAGATATCTTTGGATAGAAAAAAGGAGCTGCTATTTCCAATCTGTACATACTGTTCAAAACCAGGGACTGTCATCCTATTGGTTACTGACTTGATACAGACATGCAGGCATGAAAGTGCGAAAAGTTTAAATCTGTTAATGTGCCCTGTGCACATACTTTCTGTATGGATTTTATTTGTTCTTCTAATGTTTGGGTGGCTTTACATAAAAAACTATGCACAACTTAAAGCAGACATTCACCCTTGGCACCTTCAAATCCCAGGAGCCTGCAGGAGCAGGGACACATAGCAGGCAGTGGGTGGACCTAGAAGAAGCATGACATTGGTGGCCAGCTATAGCACCTGAAAGAGGCAGTCTGCTCCAATAATGTCAAAGAATAAGATGATGGCGTGGGGCCTGGGATGTGGCAGAGGATTGGCAGATCACAGCAGGACAATGCTGGATTTATTAGGCAGGTGAGCATGTGAATTAAACCCTGAAAAGCAAGTAAAAGGGTATGGTGGAGATAAAAAGGGGGAGGGGGTGTCTAAACTAGCATGGGCCTGAATTTTCTGCACAGGGTTTGGCAATCTCACTTCAATCTTGCTAAAGTACACCAAATGGATTTTTTTGTGTGTAGTGCGGTGCTGTTAATAAGTACATAAATAACAAAGGCCAATAAAAGAAAGTATATAATATATCAAAAACCAATAAAGTGAAGCAGAAATGGATGTGTCAGCAAACACCTGACTGACCATCAATCCTCTTTAAACTTAAAAATATATATTAAAATATAGTGCATGTGCACCAATTCACAACTGTTCGAAAACACTGAATAGACACAATTTAAGAATAATAAACACCCGGATGACCAACAAACCCATATAGGGAAAATAGTGCAAAATCAAATACAATAAAACAATATATCGTAAGTAATACTGGTATTTTCAAAAGAACCCCCCCCAATTCGTAAAGTCCCCAATCTACCTGCATAAAAATACAGTAAACACCTGGCTGACAATCAAACATATTCAGGATAAAAAATAATCATAGAGCAAACATGAGTAGATGGTGCAAAAATGAAAAATATTAGTCCATATAGTGAATGACTAGCAATGTTCAGTCCCCAAGTGAAATGACTCTTCAGAACAATCTTTCCACCACAGTGCTCATCCCCCACCAGGCGTGCCTGCTCACCTCCTTTTTTTGACCTATCTGTTAAACAGGTCAAAAAAAGCACTCTGTATGATATCCGCGGTCACTCTTACCAAAAGATTTCTTGCAGTAGACATATACATCATGTCTCTAGACAGTAATTTTTCCATTGCAAACTGGAAAACGAATGGCAATACCTGATATTTTGTCCCGCACAAGAAGGACTGCACAATTGACACTTTAAGGTTTAAATTGTCAGATTTTACAACTAAAGGCCACTGGCAAGACTAAAGAAACTAGGGAGTTTGTAAAGTAGAGTAGTAACTATGCACAAGCCAAAGATCAGAGCAGGACACAGGAGGAAAGACACGCTGAACCAATGTTGAATGATTCATAAGGATACATGAACCAAGAGAAAAGTCAAGGCAGTGCAAATAGTGCATCAGGAAATAATCTTTGCTCAGACACGATCCATGTGCACTAATAGTACAATTTGTACATACCAGCATATAACATTATGAACCTGCCACAATATGTCTGCTGTAGTGGGTGCCTGAAAATGATCAACACTAAGACTAGACAAGTATGGGGTAAAGCAAGCATGTGATGTTAAAATTCAGTAGAGGCATTCTTAAAAAAAACATAGGGCATAACCTGAACTTATGTAAATGTTATAATAATTTAGTTTGACTTCCTTAACCTGATATCAAAGAAACATTAAACTGATCAGTCCCCCACACATAAATATATACACTGTATTGCCAAAAGTATTGGGACACCTGCCTTTACATGCACATGAACTTTAATGGCAACCCAGTCTTAGTCTGTAGGGTTCAATAATCGGTTGGCCCACCCTATGCAGCTATAACAGCTTCATCACTTCTGGGAAGGCTGTCTATAATGTTTAGGAGTGTATCTATAGGAATGTTTGACCATTCTTCCAGAAGAGCATTTGTGAGGTCAGGCACTGATGTCAGACGAAAAGGCCTGGCTCGCAGTCTCTGCCCTAATTCACCCCAAAGGTGTTCTATCAGGTTGAGGTCAGCACTCTGTGCAGGCCAGTCAAGTTCTTCCACCCAAAACTTTCTCATCTATGTCTTTATGGACCTTGCTTTGTGCACTAGTGCGCAGTCATGTTGGAACAGGAAGGGGCCATCTTGACGCCTTAAGAGTTCCCTTCACTGGAACTAAGGGGCCAAGCCCATCCCTTGAAAAACAACCTCACACCATAATCCCCCCTACACCAAACTTTACAAACTGGCACAATGCAGTCAGGCAAGTACCGTTCTCCTGGCAACTACCAAACCGAGACATTTCGATGGGATTGCCAGACAGAGAAGCGTGAATTGTCACTCCAGAGAACACGTCTCCACTTCTCTAGAGTCCAAAGGCAGTGTGCTTTACACTTTCAACCATGGAAACCCATTCCATGAAGTTCTCTACGCACTGTTGTACTAATCTGAAGGCCACATAAAGTTAGGTCTTTAGGTATTGATTTTTCAGACAGTTGGCGACTTCAGCGCACTGTGAGCTTCAGCATGCACTGACCCTGCTCTGTCATTTTACGTGGCCTACCACTTCATGGCCGAGTTGCTGTTGTTCCCAGTTGCTTCCACTTTGTGATAATACAACTAACAGTTGACTGTGGAATATTTAGTAGCAAGGAAATTTCACAGATGGACTTATTGCACAGGTGGCAACCTATCACGGTAACACGCTTGAATTCACTGAGCTGCTGAGAGCGTCCCATTCTTTCACAAATGTTTATAAAAGAAATCGGCAGGCCTAAGTGCTTGATGTTGTACACCTGTGGCCATGGAGGTGATTGAAACATCTGAATCCAATGAGGGGTGTCCCAATACATTTGGCAATATAGTGTATATATTAATGATTAGTTTAAAACTGGAAATTTAATATTAAAAATCAATTTAAAGATGTGAAGGTGAACATTTGCACAGTCCCTGCTAAGCCATTTTTATGGATAGTATCACAGGAAACACTGTACAAAGATCATATTCACATTATGATCTAATGCCACTTCTGCATTTTCAAACATTTTTTTTCCCGCTTTGAATAGAGTAGAGAAGTTTATCTGAGATGCACTTCACAAAAAAATTGCCACAAAACACTCACATGTAGGGGTAATCATTTATAGTTATGACAACAAACACACACAAGCTGGTCATAGTGGGGAAACTTCACTAAAGGTTATCATATAAGTTAAGTCTGTGACGTGACCACATATCGCATACAATACTGAAAATGGCAATTCACAATTGCTAGTATGCAGTATTTACAGAATATAGCAAAAACGCTTGGTAAATATAACATTAAAAGACCTTAAAGTCAATTCACAGAAGGAAATAAATAATTAAATGCATGCTGTGATCAAATAGTGGTCCAGACATGCTGTCAGTAACTGTCATGGTTGTTAAGGAGTGGGTGGCTGCCATGTCCTTAACAACCTATGAGTCATCAGCTGTCAGCAGGCTGCCCCGCTGATAGCTGAATGTAGAAAAAAGAGATTGCTTGCAATTAAAAATTAGGCAAAAAAAAATGGCATGTCCCCCCAAACCTTACCAAGCCCTTTGGGTCTGGTATGGATTTTGAGGGGGACGCCTGTGCCAAAATTAAAAAAAAAGGCATGCCCCCCCCCCCAAATCTATGTCAGAGCCTTATGTGAACATGCAGCCCAGCAGGTCAGGAAAGGGGGGGACGAACGAGCGCCCTCCATCTTAAACCACATAAGGCCACATGCCGCATGCTTTGAGGCAGATGGGCTCCCTCCAAAAGCACCTAGCCCCTATGTTAATGGGGACAAGGGCCTCTTTCCCACAACCCTGGACAGTGGTTGTGGGGGTATGTGGGCGGGGGGCTTATCGGTGGTGAAACAATCAGCAATTTCAGCTGCAGGTTAAGGTTTGGTAAATGTCAGATTTATTGCTTTATAAATATGCCTCTGTTTCTTTCACAATAAAAGCTTCTTACCTTCTTGTTTACAAGGCACCACCACCATTCTACATCAGTTTGAACCAAATATAGTAACATAACTTTGCTACTTTGACTAAATAACTGGGCTGCAATAACAGCTTTCATCAGCAGGTGGCACTGCAGAGGAAATCTGCTATTGTATCTCCAGGTCTAAAAGAGATCCTTTCATATCACAATGAGCAGTGCAAATCATTCAAGATGGCTTTTCCAGAATTTCCTAGAGAATGATAACATTTTAATATGCATAAAAAAAATGTTTTCTTCTACCGCATACTTTTGGGAAAACACAAAGGCTTTCTCCAACATGAGTTCTTTTCCTGCTGTTTGGTGATACAAATATAAAAAAACAACTCAAAGAAAAAGGAAATTCAAGTTATGTCTACATACCCTGGCTGTAAAGTCATCGTAGTATTTAATTAATAAAGTAATTTAATGCAGAGTACACCACAACAATAGACTAATTAAATGTCATTTGTTAGGAGGTAATCCAGAAGAAATCCCATGATAGGTTAGTGATATTTGCATGAGCGAGTCTGCTGCTATTACCAGCCGAACTGGCTCTTGCTTCCTAATGACTGCGACAATGTTTACATGGAATAATAAAACCAAATTAATAACTACTTCACAGAATTAAATGTCTAATAGAAAAACAGGCATTTTTGAGTCAAATGAACTGTTCAATAAAAAGTCAAATTTGCTTAGATATGCTATTAAGCAGATATATTGGATAAATTTAATTTATTGCATCCATGGTGCGAATCCTTCATGATAAGGGTCCCAGGAGAACTAAAATGTTGGCATGCAAGGCATGGATAAAACAAATTACTTTTATCTCATTTACTTTTTCTTGAGTGCCTGGAACCCTTACCTCCTTGCTGTGGTGATGAGCAGGAAACATGATAAATGATCTAACGGTCCTGACCCTTTTTTTTTTTTTTTTTTTTTTTTGGGGGGGCATAAACCTGTCCTTTTTTTTAACTGGCTTAATTTTAACATTAGTGTTTGACTTAATAGACCTTTTGAATATGTTAGTAGTGACAGCACCATGCAGCTGTGTTTACAGGGTCCCTGGTCACAAGACTGCAGTTCACAGCATTTGTCTACGTATAGTAATGCAATGGGGTTGATTTACTAAAAGCAAGTAGGCTGTTCACTTTGCAAGGGAAAGTGCACTTTGCAACTGAATTTTCCCCAGAGCTTAGTGAGTGTGGTGGGTAAATTTAACTTTGAAAAAATACCCAATTACATGCAATAAAAATTAAAAAACTGCATTGTTGCTTGCACATGATCAGATAATGGAAGTACCTCACTCACTAAGCTCTGGGGAAAAATTTATTTGCAAAGTGAACAATCTATTTGTCTTTAGTGAATCAACCCCATGCTGTCCAGCCCATTCAGTTTCAAACTGGCTATTATACTCAAAAACAAATTGTTACACATTATAATCTGACTGAATCTGGTGTAACTATTTACCAATCTAACACTCAGCAAATGATAAGTAATAAGATTGCAAACAGCATAAATATGTAAGTGCTAATTAAGGAGATCTTCTAAAATACTGGAAAATTTACTGTTCTCATGGCGTTCCATAGATGAAATACATCACTGTGGAAGCTTAAAGTAAACTAGGTAAAAGTTTAGTAACTAACAAGTTTTGTAATTAACAACATCATCTACCATAAAGGCTTCTCTTGGGTATGCTATTACAAAACTTCTAAGTGAGGTTTAGGCCCGTCACCCAATTTGGATGCACATTGTGTTCAGGCTCATGCTTCATATCTAGCAGGAAGCCCATCAGCAACACTAGTGAGGGTCCTGTGGATTGAGTTGTTTTACCGCATAGGTAAACAGAAAAAGAAAAAACTATAATAAACAGAAAACAAAATACTTGACAATCAAAACAAGGAAAGAAGGATTTGCTCTAGCTACATCTGTTCAACAATATAATAGACTACTTTGTAAATTACTGAAAGATGACAAGAAGCCAGAGTTTACAACTTCAATATTCCAAAGTTAGATCAAATTTGTGTTGAAGCCTTATAACATCCTCTCCATATGTCCCTGTGGCTATGGAAAATGTGAGCTTTATGCTCTTTATACACTAGCACTTTTCAAAAACACATTATATGTTTAGCTATAACAGACTAAATTTTTTTTGGGGGGATGAGGGGGGGATTTCCACTCTTTTGCCAGAGTAAAACATGCAACAAACAAAATATGAATAACCACCATTCTCACTGAAGGAATGTTGCGAGAGTTAGGGCTCTTTCACATAGGTGTTCCATATGTCCATTTTTCATCTGTCCATTTACGGATGAAAACTGGACACCCATGTATTTCTATGACTAGCGGATGTAAATGGATGATCATCTGTTTACATTCGTTAATGTCCACGTTTGCTATTATCTGTTTTTTTGAACGGAAGAAAACCCTATTTTTCTTCCATTAAAAAAAATGGAACAGATGAAAAACGGATGTGAACAAACAAAAACTGATGTAAACAGATGAAAAAAACGCATGTAAACAGACAAAAATGGATTTAAACAGATGTAAATGGATGAAAAACTGATGTAAACGAATGAAAACAGATGTAAACAGACATTAAAATGATGTAAACTGATGAAAAATGAATGAAAACTGGATGATGAAGAAATGGATGTAAACTGATGAAAAACTGACAAAAACTGCTGAAAAACTGATGTGAATTGATACAAAAAGATGTGAACTGATGAAAAACTGATGTGAACTGATGAAAACTGATGTAAACTGATGAAAACTGATGTAAACTGATGAAAAAACTGATGTGAACTGATCCGTTTGTTCTTGGAAAAAACGTGACTGATGAAAAAAAACAGAACGCCTGTAAAAGGACCCTTAAGAAGAAAACTTGAGGAAGGTTCCAGAAAAGGCCAATCCAGAGTTGAAAAAGAAACTCTTCTGCCATTGTATATTGCCCTTTAGGAGAGATCTGTTCATTTATGGATAGTCTATATCAGCCTAAACAAATCAATTCCTAAATAAAATTTTAGAAAACCATTTTGACTTTGGAAAAAATGCAAATAATTGAAGAAATTGACAACTAGAAGAAATACTGTCCATAGACCGATATTATTTATATTTTTAACAGTAGGCATGATAGTCATCATCATCAACTGTGATACTGAAACTATAATGCTGCAAACAGATTTTAAGATATAGGACAGTGATCCTTATGACAACTAGTAAACACTTAAGATTATCATCTTCCCTCAACCTTTTTTTCTCATGATTAATGTGTATTAAAAGTGTTGACTTTAGCAATACTTCAAAAGTAATCATTGTAAAAAAAAATAAAAATAAGATGAATATTTGCTGAACAAAACAAATATGGTGATGTTTTCTTAATAAGTAATACAAACTAATCAGGAGAAAATTATATTTTATTTAAAAGGATTAAAAAGAACTGAAAACCATTAGAATGAAAAAGTTTAAAGCGTGTCTAAAGTCAAAAATAAAAATAAAAAATAATGTAGCTTCCTAGTCCTTAGATGTGGTGGCTGCAAACATTCTCTTTTTGTAGTCTTTTATCATTATTTTGAAATGCTGATCCTACCAGTAATACACTTTCCTGTCCTAAGCTAACAACACCTACTCACTGCATCTATGGAAAACACTGTCACCTTCAGTCGCTCACCTTATTTGAACTGCAAACCCCCCTTCTGCTCATCTCCATTTCATAAAGGGGCATTTTTTGTAGTTTATAGAAGATAGCCAGGATAGCTTATGATATGATTTGAGATATCAGCTCAGTG